ATAAATAACACGATTCAATTTGTGACATTACCACACAATGTTGGCTACAAATATAATGTATACTTTTGTAGCAACAATGTTACCACGACCCTTGTCCAAATAAGGTGTGCTTTGATTTTGTCCCAACCTTCCATCACAACAAACAATAGTTGAATGGCGCCAATCTCGTTCATGTCCATAAACATCTAAATTATCGTGAAAACCAAAATCATGGACTAAAAATAGTAATAACACTGTAAATTGAATGCAAACCTAATAATAATTAGATATTAAATTGAATGCAAAATTATATGAAAAAATAACAATGCAGAGAAAATGTATATGCAGAATGAATTTAAATAAAATCTCAACATCTAAAAACAAATTCAATCACAAAAAAATGGAAACATCAAAAAAACAAATGTAGATGAGTTTGAAAATTGTTCAAATTATTTATTTATTACCGAGATTTACCAATGGTTTCAAATTTAGCACATCCACTAAAATGAAAGACCACTTATTTTTGGACATTTTTGGTCTATCTAGAATTCATATTATTTTGTTAAGAACAAAAATACAAACAAAAAACGGGACACTTGTAAACCGACACTTAGAAATAACGAGAAATTTCCTGGTATAGAAAAACTCGACTCGGAACGGACCGAACCCAAGCCCAAAGTGACTAATTCTAGCTTCCATTTTAATTTAAATATTATGAATGAATCTAATATTTTTACAACCATGCTTGATGTACACGCCCTTGTACACACCTTATACACACCATGTTTGTGAAACCTTTTTTTTGTCTATGAACCCAGTTCACAGACAATATTTTGTTTGTGCAAAACATTGTGTGTGAATCGATGCTCACAGACAAAGAAAAAGGTTTCACAAACATAGGTGTGTACAAAAGTGTGTATAAGGGTGTGTACAAATAGAGTTTTTGATATTTTTAAACCTAAATTTTCTCCAGCAGGCCGTTTTGCAAGCCTGAAAAACTATGTTGGGCCAGCCTAGGTAAATGCAGCCCAACAACCGCCTGACCCAACAATATATAAACGAAATACCCACGTCACCCTCCCAAACCCTCCGCTTCTCACGCCAACAGTAAGACCGCCTCTCTCTCTGTATAACGAAATACGCAGATGCAGGGATTCACAACGACGCTTCCTTCAACACTGCAAAACTGCTTCCGGCAACAACGAACAAAAAGGGATCTCACACCCTTGAACGTGATAATTTCTCGGTGAGTTTTTCCATCTAACACCAAACCAAACACACTACCCATTGCATGCACAAACACACCATGAATCCTTGTCTTACGTTTTTTTAACTGACAAAGATAATGAACACTTTTCATCGGAAAATAACAAACAACCATACAAATCTGCTAAATATTAGATCTGTCATTTTTTTCATTGTTCTCTAGATTTCTAGTAGATCTACCGAATAAAATTCAGTCATCTTCTTAATATGTGGGAAAAAGGACCATTCAATCAAAGGACAAACTGTAAAAAAATATATAACGTATAGATCTTGAGGATCCGAGGTTTAAATAAAAAAGGCTTTCATTTGTTCGTATTTTTTAAAATGTTTTAGCATATCCGGGATTTACTCTTTACATAATGTTATTTTGTCAACTAATCTAAATCGAAGTAAACTGTACAACCAAAATATCACAAAATTTATTTTATAAAAATCATTTTCCCTATTTTTTAAGGCAAAATACATTTCCCTAAATTTCCGGCATTCCAGTAGGTTTTTAATAGTAAGAGACGCAAACCATTTAGCCTACCGAATTTTCCAATTCATTTTACTGCACTTCTGGTTTCTTAAATTAGTTTATTTATCTTAAATGACTATTTTTAATAACATAGTCGTAAATATTAGGGTGTATGTTTCTTAAATTAAATTTATATTGAAAAAATGTGTTTCTTCACAATACAGGGCCCATATTCTTTAAATTTAAATTTACCTTTTGGCTTTGTGAAAAATCGAGATACCTCTACTATATAAAACTTTTCAAATAAATAATTATATATTGCGTAGTATAATTCAACCAAATTTTTGATATTCCAGTAGGTTTTTAATAATAAGAGACTGATACCATTTAGCCAACCGAATTTTACAATTCATTTTACTGAAGGTGTGGTTTTTTAAATAAGTTTATTAACTTTAAATATATAATTTTAATAACATTGTAGTAAATAATAGGGATTATTTATCTAATCTAATTTTAATAACATTGTAGTAAATAATAGGAATTATTTATCTAATAGATTAAAATTTCTGTTAAAAACATTCATTTCTTCACATTCACTCCGTAAATTTTAATTTTCCTTTTGTCTTAGTGAAAAATCGATATACATCTACAATACTAAACTTTTGAAATAAGTAATTATCTATTTGGTAGTATACTCGTATAATTTAACCAAAACAAAGAAGAAGAATCTAGAGTACTGGCAAAACAGTAAAAAGTTTCTGCCGACTGACAGTTGTACAAAGTGTACACACCCCAACACAATCGGTACACCCACTTTTACTCTTTTAAATTTCAAAACAACCAAACACACAAGACATTAATTAATTCGACCTCACCTGCCACCCACCAAATTTATTACATCGAGCCACACAATTTATTACATCTAGCCACACACCTACACAACGCTCCTTTTTAATTCTCGAACAACAGCCTTTAATGGCACAACTCACAAGGACACGTTAATAAATTCTAACGCATACTTATCTTCTCCAACTACCCGCTTTAATAATTCCACCTACGCCTCACACCCTTGACATTTCAAAAAAGCACTACAATGTTGCATACATCTTTTATTGATTGGAATAACAGACCAGCTACATCTACACAAACCGCAACGATCCAAAGAAACCACCACAACAAACCAAATAAAACACGAATGGAAGGAAGAACAGCTTGAAGTGCATATACATGGATAAAGAAAGAAGCATTCAATGGACAGAAACTGAATTAAATCAATGCAATTTGAAAGAGAAGGGCTCAAAGTCAGTATGCATGCTGATGCGTACACGGTATGAAGTTTATAATTTTTTCTAAACTGCATCTGTTAATATCTATTTTGGTGTATTTTATTCCAACTATTAACATCTACTATTCTATTTCATAAAATGGCAGAGGAGGAAATGGTGGTAACTTATTCCGCAAAGGTTGAAACTTTATAATCACAGGATCTGAATAAAAATTACAGGTCAACACTATCTCTACACTGTTATTCTTACATTTGGTTGAAACTATGTCAAATAAGATAAATAAATCACTTTGGTTTTAATCACTTATCACTGCTGATACAACCTTATTTGTATCCCTATCAGACAACTGTTTTGAGTAGTCACCATGTTCAATCTTTCCAATTGAATATGTATCATGATCTTTATTTATTACATAGATTTTTTTCTCTGTAACAATCTGTGAAACAATATGTAATGATTTTGTATATGTTTTATTTTACAAATACATTTATTTAAAAAAGAGACTTTAAATGATCCTAGTTTGGAAGGCAAACTTGAAGTCTCCATCTTTTAAACCAAGAAACACACACCCAAATGGTTACCTGGATTTTCTTATTTGATCTGGTTACAATTAGAGCTGAATCTCAATTATAAAAATTAAATGATTCTGCTAAAAGTTTGCAAAGATAATTTTTTAACTTTTTTTTAAGAGTAAACTGGTTGTTTGGGATTTGTATATGTTTTGAATTAGTTAGCATATTGCAGTTCCTAAATCTATTTCACCTTTGCACCATTGATCTGTGCTTAGATTTTCCAATCTTACTTGATCTTGTGAAGAGCATGTGTTCAAAATTTGTTAGCTATTTCGGAATACATAACATTTTGTTTGTAGTTATCTAGCTTTTTATTTAGGCAACCTATTTGTAGACAGTAAAACATTTTATGAAGTCAAATAATTTTTAAAAAAATACACCTACTATTTATTTGTCTAAAGAAATGTATGTTTTTATACTGCATTTATTGACTTTCATTTCAACAATTTTATTCAGACAATTAACATCTACTTTTCTATTTCATAATATAATGGCACGCTCGGAAATTGTGGTGGCGTGTGACGCAAAAGTTGAAACTTATTAATCAAAGAAGCCGGAGAACAAAATCACATGTCTACACTAAATCCTCTGTACACTTATTTTTACATTGGCTCTAAATTGTGTCCACGGAGATCCCTAAACACGCTTTGGTTTTAATTACTTATCACTACTGTTAAACCATATACGGATAACTATGAGGCAACTGTTTTGAGTAGTTCCCATATTCAATATTTCCAAACCAATAGGTATCATGATTTAGAGTCCTTACAAATTTTTTTGTGAATAATATTTTCGAAAAGTGCATCATGTTTTAGGTCAACACTAAATCATCTAAACTGGTATTTTCAAATTTGAAAAATCTATTCTAATAAAGTAGGTCAACAATTGTTTATGCATCCAGTAAACCCAATGGTAATATATAGTTATCCCCTTTCTACATTACTGTATCTTTATTTCCGTGTTACCATATTTTGCACAAACATAACAAACAACATATTTGAAGAACATATCATGGTCACTCACGCAATGATTTTTCCCAACAATGCATGTCCAAAATAAGATACTTGTTAAGTAGGCACCCAATAGGGATATTTTTTACAGATTCAAAAACTCTTGTAACACACACCGAGAACAGAAAACTTAGAAGACACGGTGATTTTCGTATTGTTATGATACGTAGAAATACCTGAACCTGGTCGCTTGTGACCGATTATCACCGACTTGGTTATTTTAGGCATTGTCAACGATAGCTTCAACAAATTATTGGAATCATGCTCGGCAAAACTTTTTTGTACCTAAAATCTAGGTATAATAACAAATTACTATCAAACCGTAAAACTCAACTAATATTTTCAATAGTGTCAAACATACTTAAACAATATTAAAAAAGCTTCATACCACTTAACAGTTTTGGCACAATACACAAAACTTAGTACATAACTCACAACAAACGTTAGATAAGTAAAGTTTTTCATAGGAGGCCTAACCCACAGAAAGTAAACATTACAGTACATCATTAAGAAGTAGTCAGCCAACCAAAGTTAAAGTTCACAACAAATTCCCCACTAAAATAGCGCTTGTTCAGATAGATAGTCCGTGTAGAACGCCTTAAGACCACCTCCTCCCTCACTGAAGCAGTGGTCTCCTGTGAACTCTCCACAACAGACCCAACGAACCATTGGAGATCATGAGCTCCATACATACGGGACAGAACTCCCGGCGACAGCAGGGTCGGCGGGGGTCCTTGGTGGAGAAATTCAAGCTGATAGGTAGCACTGCACCAACCACAGTACCAAATACTACATGCACACCCACGGGGTGTATGCATGTTGTCCCTGTGCCCGAGTGAAAAACATATTGCACCTCCATTGTCCAAAACTTCAGCCAAATGACTTAAACCTGCTTGAGTTGCCATTCCTTTGATATTCGAAGAGACAACAATGTGTGGAAAAATATTATTATTATTATTATTAAAATATAAGGTCAACAAATTGATGATTTTTTTTAGGATTTTAACTTTCACAATGGTGATCCATTTTATTCCAAACAATCATTGAATTTTTATGAATTATTATAGGTAGAAGTTGATATGAAATACACGAAATAATACTACTTCAGTAAATAAATATAAGGATTATGTACGTTAAATAGATAAGATTAGTTTAGTCTTTTAAGAGATAATTAAAAATCAAAAGGGCATAGGATTTACATCGAATATGTTACTCACCTAAAAGTGGAACTCAACTTTGATCACACTTAATAAGATTCTGATAGATTAGAAGTGGACAGCATGGATTTGAACAATAGGTAAAGGAAAGGCTTATTCTGGGTTGAATGATCTATAACCGAGTGGAATATATATATTATCTTCTTTATGGCTATGTGAAAACTAAATTTGTAGACAAAGAACAGTGAATATAATCATTAAACCCACTCACGCAACTACCCATACTGTAATTATATTAAAGCACTATTCATGACACAAAAAGTAACCACTCACAAATCAGTTTAGTGACTGTCTCAAATCACAGTAATTATTTACATTTCAGAGATAATATACATATAGATTTGGTTGATAGATACGGTGATGTGCAGATTTTTCATCCACAAACATGAGATGAATTTACCCATCACACGTATTGCCCATACCTGAAACACTATGCAGTGCCAAAAATATCTCTGAATATTTCCTGCGCAAGGTTAGTAATAAACAATTTGAAATAGTTCACTTTGTATAAAAAAAGTTAATTCAAGAAATATCACATCTTATTATAAGTCTTTTTACGAAAATATTATTAAGGGGTGATTTTTTTAATGTTTTATAAGTCTTATACCTCGATTTTTTTTCAAAAGGAATGACCAGATACTACTAATTCACATATAAATTTTTAGGAAACTTCTTCATAAATTTAGGAACTTCCGTATTATATTTATCTGTTGAGGTAACATGCTTTTTGCAATGAAACTGATATATGTATTTATTGTAGTATTATGCATAGATAAATTTGCCACTCCTCCGATTAAATGTTCCTGTGTTTCCTGTAATCGGGTATCCATGTTTATTTCCTTATTTATTAGTTATTTGTACTCCTTGGCCAATTACTTTACCAGTTATTACTTGACCGATATTGTAGTTGCCTTTAAGAGGTAATATATTGTATGTAAATTTCAGTAGTAAAATTAATTGCCCTAGGAATGCTTGCAAATCAGGGGGGTGAGCAATGGTGTGTGATGGAATAACTGCAAATACACTGTATTATTGCCACATGTTGTGTTCTTGATAATTTGTTATCATAACCTATTTTAATGAACTTTAGATGTTAGCATCACATTTGAGTTGCATTAATTTTTGTGTTCTAACCAAGAACATATATTTTGAAACATGCAGGGCAGTGATCTTTCCATCTACTTTTTTTCTTGTATATGTAATCCTCTATTTTATTTTCAATTTGTAAATGTTGTAATAATTAGAGATAGGGTAGATTTAGGTTTTGCCACGTTCAACGTCGAATCCAGGTACGTTTATCTACACACTGCTTCGGTTTTAATTACCTTCACTGCTGTTACACCCATCCACGTATAACTATCAGACAACTGTTTTGAAGAGTTCCCATATTCAATCTCAAAAATTGAATATGTATCATGATTTTGAGTTGTTACAGAATTTCTTATCTGAAACAACCCGTGTTACATGACCATTTGTCTATAACCAATTTGACATGATATAACTCTTCAAACATATATCGAGTCAAAAAATATATAACTTAAATGTTAGCCATATTCCGCTCTATATTTTACAATTACATGTAGTCATCAATTTTTACGAAGTATAGTCAGTATAAGTATTTTACCCATTCAGGTCTCTCTAAATATTTTTCCTTGGTGTAGTTTTAAAGTAGGTCCAATAAGATTTGTTACCTTTTCATTTTTTACGCAAGCCTGAAATTTGTGTACCACGGGAATAGAGGGGTAACAAATGCATTACCTTCTTCCAGGTAACATAATAATAAATCCATGTCCAATATGAACTAATTGTTCATGTTGAAAACATAAATATGAAATATCAAACATAACATTGGGATTACTTTATTAATAGATTGTAGTGCTTAGGTTACACGCAGAGCACACTTTAGGTATAAATGTGCCAACCAATAACAAAACACAAAATCCAAAACACTTAGAAGACTTTGACTTTAGAGAAGCTTTTAGTCTTCTAAGATTTCATTCCCGTACGGCCAGTCCCAAGACACTACATTATTACCATATGAAAGTTAGAGATCTAGACGACATAATTAAAACCGCAAATAATCCACGGGAACAAATTCAAGCTTTAGGCTCCTCAATCTTTATGCCCTTCATCCTTTTCTTTGCAACGGTAGATGAAAATTCTCCAAAAGGATCCCTCTTCACCTTGTCTCCATCAACCTCGAGTGCAATCCTTTTTTCTTTGTTCAGTAAAGGGCTATTCGAAACCACCTGATGTGAAGAACCCACCTGAATGACATTAATTGAAGTTCAACTTACATAGAAAAGCAATCCCTGGTTTTAAATCAACATGTAGAAAAAAAAGGCTTGCACCTTTTCACCAGCTGAAAACTCTTTCTTCAACCTGGTGAAGTCATCCTCCTCCTGTTTATATTGAGATAAGCAGGAATGTTAACTTATATTTAAACCTAAGCCTTCCAAAACCACACCCCATTAGTGAAATAACGTACCTCTGCTGCACTTGAGTCAGGTATATAGAGTGAAATTACTTTAGGGTCTGTATTCATCCTTAGCACACTAAAGTTCTGATTTCCCTTATAGCTCCTGTTGTCCTTCTTGAAATGAACGCGGAACAACGCCTTGATGTCAATCAAGGCATTGATTTCTGCAGGGAAGTAATGTGGTCCAAAGTTCCTCTACACAACGGAGTGATGATTAGGTGTGAATGTCCTTAAATAGATAGCAGGGAATCAGAAACAATATTAACTGATAGTCCTACCTTAGATATTTGTTCCTTTAGAGATGAAGCAGAACGTCCAATCAAGCAAGAAACCTCTCTATCCCAGAGAAGAAAGGAAGCATGTGCAGTTTTGTCAACAACCCTTACGTTTACTCTATACCTTAGGACAACATCCGATGAATTGCAAGATAAGCAAATAAAGGTGTCACCATTCGGTGTCACTTCGCGGCTGCAACCAATGCATGAAACATAGGACCAATCTTTGTGACTATCTATCGCCACAATTTCTCCGTGGACCCAATGTTTACCATCCTTTAAAAAGTACATTTTTTAGTAAATTTTGCGTCTAGGCTATTAGTTCAATATACACTTCTATGTTTTAAACAAACCTCTTCCATTTGGGTGAGGTGATCTATTGTCACCAGTTGTATCTGTCCGGTGCCAATATCGCCCTCATTAGACGTATCAAAGGAAATTGTGAAACTCAAACCGTCACCGCATCTATTCGCCATCCTGAGTTAAAAGAAACGTCAAATGACATTGCATTTAATAATGTGGTCGTAGTATTAAGGATTCTATTGTTGGCTAATTTTAAACCTTGATCTAAAGTCGTTAAACTCGTCCTCTACCCCATTTAGAATAACCTTGGTTGTGTTGAACATGTTGGATACATGAACATGACCTGAAATTTTTTTTATTAGGGAGCCATAAAAAAAACTTAAAGATTATGTAAAGAACAGAATCCGTATTCTACCCTGGTATTTCTTTGCGCGGCAGCATTGAAGCAGCATGACAATGGGTTCCGCCGTGGTCAACTTATTCGTTAACAGCATTTCAACCATGGGACCCCAGAGTGTGCAGCCGATCACATTTCCCCTTTTAATAAACACATTTCCTAGGATTAGTGTAACTTAAAATAGCGAAATAGATTGTGCATTTACTTGAGTTATGAAAGAGCCTAACTCGGTATCTCCTAGGATGAGCTCAATAAGCTTCTTAGGACGGTCATTTTTAAGAATTGTCTTTGGATCTTTATCATGAACGACCTGTCCAATGATATCTGCACACACTCTCTTTATATTAATCGATCAACAATTAGTTATGCAATTTTATCTTATTCAGTTTGAAACATACCCACAGCAGCTTTGTCATCAATTGTTTCCGCTGCTTGTAAAGCAGCGAAGGACACTAAATTAAAAGTCCTCAAAGGGAAAGGGATTTGGATCTCGAACCCTTCACTTTTCTTAAAGAATCGAAGCCTGTATGCGCTAGTAGTCGTTTTGAAAAACATGAAGTTCTCTTCTACCATAAAGTTTTTCATTGCGTAAATTCTACCCTCCCTGAATAGGCTGCAAAATTTGCCGATATACTGATCCGGGATGTGTCCATGAATCTTGGAGCCCTGTCAAAATCAAACTGGTCATTTAAAACAATCAAGTAATCAAGGAAAATAGGCAAACCATGAAATTCGCCTCTTCGTCATGGAATACCACTTCCAAAGAAGGGGGAAAACCATCATGGGCAGGTTCCCTGTACACTCTTGTAGCTCTGGCCTTGATGGCCCAAGTAGTCCTGCTTTGATCAATTTCCCTTATCATTGACCACATTCCAACCATTTTGAAAGGAATATTGAAAAAATTATGTTATTGCACTTTGTATCCGGCTGAATGGTTAGTTAGCTTCATGCTTCAGGCATGCTTTTATAGATGAGTGGTGAACTCGTAATTATTAGAGTGGGATACACAAAATCAAACACACTGTTATCAGTTATCACCACCCCATTCAACCAATAAAACAATAGGATATATGTGTGAAAACAGTGCACACCGCCAACAAAAGCCAATAAGAATGCTTGCATGAATTTTTTACTGTTCCCACATGACTTGAACCAATAGGATTGCAAAGATCCAAATCCCTTGCGTATTCTTGAATGCCCAAACACGCAAGAGTTTAATGAAAACACTGTAGCAAAGAGGTCTCAACCAATTGCAATGCAGGCAGTTTTTAATCTACCGATTGCCTTGAACCGGCAACACTGTAGTAGAGAAGTCTCACCCTATTTTTTATTAATTAACACGTGAACACAATTGATTGTAAATAATTTTACTGAAAAATTAAAAATTAACATGATGTTGACATATGTAGGCGGGAACACTGTTCCTCCAATTCTTTTGCTTTTATATTAAGATAGACTAGTATTGTACCCGTGCGATGCACGTGGATAATTATTTCGCATATTAAAAAGTAAATCTCTTGATACATATTGGGTTTAATAATATACGGAGTATAAATTTGTTTGGCAAAAATTTGTTTGGAGTAAGTTACATTCATTAGTAGTTGGGGATGGTGTAACGTGTCAATTTGATATTACTCCCTCTATCCCGAAAAGGTTTGTCAAATTGACTTTTCTTGATCAATGGCACAATCAACTTTGACTAATGATATTTTTTTAATTCGAATTTATTTTGAATATGAAAATTATATCAAAATGTTCCTTATTCAATATATTTTCATAAAAGTATAAAATTTATAAATTATATACAAATATAACAATTAAAATTATTGTCCAAAGTTTGTCATCATTGACAAGGAAAAGTAACATGGCGAACCTTTTCGGGACTCATGTAGTATAAAATTAGAGGCCTGAAGAGGGTAATGCGGCAGGGTATGATAATTTTAATGCGGGTTTATTAAAAAAATAGAATCCCTGATTTGGAGTACTTTAGAATCTCTTATGCCATCCCTAGCTTACATGTTAAGTACATGTATCCAATGTAATTTATTGCAGATATTTTAGTCAATAATTAGGTAGTAATGTTATTATTTTAGAAAGATGAAAGTTTTGAAGGTAAAAATATTAGAGGGGCATACGAAAGCTGTGGTGAAAAAACTATTTCGGTGTCAAAGAAATCACGTGAAGAAAAAAAATCAGATGATTCAAAATGGTTTTCAACATTCCTTGGTCCCAGTACTCCATATATGTTTGCACCTTAAAGTGGTTTTGAAAGTGGGATTTTCACAAAATTGTGAGTTTCTATTTAGGATTTGTAGCTCATAGAGCACAATTTGTCTTGCCAATTGTTTCTACTATAGGGTATTGTCTCAATTATGAGCTTAAAAGTTTTTTTAATTAATTAATTTTCTTATTGTTTAAAAATTAGGTTACAATCATTAAGAAATATTAAATCAAAATTACAAAAAAATCTATTCACAAAATACTAATAAAAAATGAGCCAACTCGACTAAATAAACTGAGCCAATCGACCTAAATAATCATCATCAGATAATGCTAATACAAAAAACTAATAAAAAAATAAATATATTGTGCGCCATTTATGTGTAAAAAAATTGTGGCTTCATCATATGCATCTGAGCTGATGAACCAATATAAGACAAAAAATTAATTTGTTCATTTGATGCATGTTAGAAGTGCTAACAACGTGATGCTTGTTTTTAATATTTAAATATAAAAATATTCAAAATAGCCACATAAATAAAAATGCAATATATACCATAGTATGACTACTAATTTGTCATAAAAATAGAATATTGTTAGTCATAATATGGAAACTTTTGTTCCAAAATTTAACTCATAATAAAAACGTCTATGAGATATATCAATTTGACAATCCTTTATAGCCCCAACGGAAATTCCATGAACGTGCATATGTTCTCATGATTTTTTTTATTTTTTTTAGCAAAACACACTCATGTAGAGGGAGTATAAAGCCGTACATCGGACGTTATATTAATTATTAATTATAATGTACAAAATATTGTAATGGTCTAGAAAAAAAATATTCAATGAATAACCATGACTACCATTACTCATCCCCACCTAGAAAGTAGAAACTTCATGACATCTTTCAGCAAATACAACCGCACACCTAGAAAATATTGTATACCCTAAAAAAGTTAGCTACAGTGTTCTTACCCAAACTCCACTCCCACTATTTTGTTATTATGATTATATATATATATATAGATAATGTTATTTGTGTTTTAAGCTTACATATATTTTACGGAGTGATAATTTGATATGGTTTTAATTCCATATACACTTTTTTTTGTGTTATTTGTATTGTAATTTTATTAGATAAAAATAAAAAATCATCTTGAACCAGCGTTTCCTGTGTCACCAGAGTGTTTCCAGCCCTATTATGGACTGTATTTTCAGTTTTTGTCCATTTAATATTTTTTAACTAACCAAACCAATTATTATCAAAAAAACACTAACCAAACCAATTTTCAATTTGCGTCAGTTTCTTAACCATATGATAGAGTCATACAAATTTTGAGAATGACTAATATTCCGTATGAATTTTTCTAAAGATAAGGATGAAGTATTTCACACTACCATTGATCTAATAATGTGTACGTAGTATTATGTAGAATATTTTTATGAATTTTGGGCATGATTCAAAAGTACATAATGTTACAACCATTGATATAATAATGTGTTTAAAGAGACGTTCTGGCTTCCCAATTTACTATCATTAAAAATGAAGAATGACAACTGAGCTTTACACTTGTTAAAACTTGCTAGACCCTCATATGTGTTACGTTTTGGAGTGGATAGTACCTGCAAATAACTATTAACACGACCCTCAGGTCTCAACCCTCCTCTATTTTTTGGTGCATGCATTTTATTAAAGATGTTCATCTGTATTCTAAGGCCATCTATTTTTTAGACACGTTTTTCCCCGCCCAACACCCCTTGTTCTCCCTCTTGGGGACTTTTGTATTTTACTATATTATATAGATAATACAGGGGGTTGAGTTTGATTTGATTTAATGTAACTAACACTAAGATGAACGGCTTATGTGTTTTAATTAATAGAGATGATGACTTGGTTTTGCTTTTATCCACTTAATGAAATGTTCGTCGATCCCGGTTATATCTTTAACTATCTTCCTCTCGAATACTCAATCGAGGAGTATATCCAATTCATCGAGGGTAGTTATTAATAACGAGACGCGTTCATTAATAAAACTTACTACCAAGTCAATATAGAACAAGCGTCGTATATTAACCCGATGGTAGCAATAAACTTAAGATGAAAACGATTGAGATTGATAACCTCAACACAAGCGGTTTATTGGTTTAATCAATATAATTAATTCCCCTTAAATTATTAACCATGAGACGCATGCATTAATAACTCAAGTTTACTACCGTTCAATGAACCGAATTAATAACAAGCGTATTAATCAATTGATTCTAGTAATAATTAATATCATAATATATGAAACAAAACTAGTTGATCCTTTAAGTAATGCTCAAAATATTAATATGGAATATGAATAGGAAATAATTAGTATTCAAGGAAGAAGATTAAAGAAAATAACTAACAACTTACAAATCATTAAGCTTCAAAGTAGCAAAACTAAGATGGAAGAGTTTAGCTCCTCATTTGGAGACTAGACATGAAGAAAATATAAAGAAAGAACTTATCTAGACTGAGCATAGAAGTATATGTGAATTGGTGATTTTTGTGTGAAGCATAGGGGTGTATTTATAGGAAAATGGAGCATGCAGGGGTGTGTACCCGATCGGGTATCAAGGGCACCCGATCGGGTACCTTCAGTGGCTTTCTGGAAGCTCGAAAAGTGGGACATACCTGACCGGGTATGTCGGTCACCCGATCAGGTATGGACACTCGAACATGGCTAAAAATCCTCCTGCGTGTTGCCTTTTCCCGGATCCGATCCGATTTGAAATTTCAACTAGATACCCGATCGGGTATAGGTCATACCCGACTCGGTATAGACCAAAAATCAGGATCTCCTATTTTGTCTTGCGATTTTGCACCTTCCTTCCACTTTTGGGGTTCACCAACGGTCCCTTGAGTGATCATGGACCTGTTTGAGCTCGGAATAAACATAATCTAAACAATTTACAAGTATTTTACAAACTAAACTATTACACCAAAATTGTGTAATTTCCAAAGTAACAATCAATCAAAACCAGTTAAAAACACAAACATAAACATGAAAATTACACGATTATCACCAGCTTTGACTTAGTCCAATATAAAGACTGAGGGGGGGGTTTCAGATTTCTCCTCCTGGCGCCATACACCGACAAAGCAAGGAATCTCTCAAAGGATGCAACATTTTAGGGGGAGTGTTCAATGTTCTCCTCCATAGTGCCTAACAATGACAAAGCATACTGAGTGCTCCAGTTGAGGGGGAGTACAGAGAGAAAATCAAGAAACAAATGAGAGATCATGCCCATATGGCTTAGTAAACCCAACTAAGCCTAACCAAGGGACAAAGCCGAGATTAAGTGAGTGAGTGAGTGAGTGAGTGAGTGAGTGAGTGAGTGAGTGAGTGAGTGAGTGAGTGAGTGAGTGAGTGAGTGAGTGAGTGAGTGAGTGAGTGAGTGAGTGAGTGAGTGAGTGAGTGAGTGAGTGAGTGAGTGAGTGAGTGAGTGAGTGAGTGAGTGAGTGAGTGAGTGAGTGAGTGAGTGAGTGAGTGAGTGAGTGAGTGAGTGAGTGAGTGAGTGAGTGAGTGAGTGAGTGAGTGAGTGAGTGAAAATTATAAGCGTTAGGAAGCAGAAGGCTCAAGTAGCAAGAAAACAATAATCAATGCTGAGTCTGCTACCTCAACTGCATGCTATGAAGTGAACATTTACTCCTAGCCACTCAAATACTCTGGACTATCCTCATAGGTTCAGGACTGATTTAATCAGATCCCGAGTAGAAGTCACTGCATCTTGTCCAACAGTGCATGATTAACCCTACCCAAGACCACTCACTTGTCTCTCAACAGAAACGTGTTTAATCATATTTCACGGGGAACTGCATCTCTCATTACTGTCTCCTTCCGAGGCAAGTGATGCTGACTACAGTGGCCTCAGCTCCATGCCACTGAACTTTCATTGCTCACGTCGTGTCTAGTTACCTCACTCCCAAATGTTTTGAAATTTCTAGGACACAGACGCATTTTTTGAGTCAGTTGCAGGTCTTCATGATCTGCGACAACTTCCATAGGGCTCATCTATTACAGATGTAGACCAATGATTGGAAGGAAGTCCTGTTGTTGCAACATAAGAATCACCAACATCTTCAGACCATTGCTTTAGAGTTTATCTCTATAGTGATGATAACGGGTGTCTACATGACCCCGGGGGGCTACAGTATCTCATGCTAATCTTTATGATCATGCAAATAACAACCAGAGTGACATCTATCCCAATGCTTCATGATGATTGGTTGGAAGTCCTGTTAGAGCTTTAATGTTTCTATCATTTTATACAGACCACACATCAGTGTTTACATTGATGTTGTGTTAACGGAACACCTCAGTGTATCCGGGTTTGTTCACTTTAATTTTCTGTTCGTTTTTCTGTTTTTGATTCCCATAATAAAAGAATAAAGGCATGAAGCCCCGATTCATCGGATCAACATGAGGGGGAGAGTGGTCCACATGTTGTTAACTGTCAAAAAATCATTCTCGGACACTTCTCTCCTATCAAAATTTTCAACGTCTCTCTTCTATCTCTACACCTCAAATGGTCAGCTACGCTCACAAGTCAACCATCTTTTTCCACTGTGCCACCGACAAGGTATCCTCAAATGCATTCACTTCAAATAGTCAAAAAGATTACATTATGGAGGAGACAAAGGTCACTTGCTCAAATTCGGAAGATGATTTCCATGTGCCCCTGCAATTCTTCAAGAACATTCATTCTAGAGGCGCCACCGAACTTCATTCAAGCTGATCAAGAGCTACTTCTGAAGGCAAGGTTTACAAGCAAGCCAAAGGAAGATTCCTCAACCCCCGGCATCAAAGCTCAAATTGCCAAGAAGACATCAAAGGGGAGATTGCAAGGATTTCTTGAGAAAGCCTTCTCAAGAAGTCAAGTTCAGAGACAAAGGAAGCTGAATAACAACAAAGACAAAGATATTCGCGTTGCAATGCTGATTCAACACGATTGAACACCAAGGGGAAGATTGTTGAAGAATATTTTTATGGTGTCCAATCTAATTAAATATCTTTGTATTTGTGTAGTTATTAGTTAAACTTGTAATATGGGCCACAAATGTGTATCAGCCCATTAGCTTCTTTGTAATCCATAAGTTAGCCAACTTCTCCTATAAAAGGAGGCTAACTTATGGAAACCCTATGGTTTGAGAGGCTTCAAAAGCATAGTGGCGAGATAGAGAGATTGGGTTTGCCTCTTTTCTCTCTTCTGGGAGAGCAGCGGTCAGTTTACACGGTATACCAGATTCGTTGATTATCTCGATATCTTTCTGTTTGCTTCTTCTTCACTGTTATGGTTGTTTGATTGTTAAAGATCAGGGAATATCAGGGGACACCCCTCTAAGTTTATAGGTTGAGTTCGAATAAGATGTTTGAAATTGAGCTCCAATTTAGGTTGAAAATAAATTTTCTGTTTTAAAAATTATTAATATTGTATTTACGCATACAAATAAATTAATTAAATAAAAAATATAATATTTATAATCTAGCATTCTCATTTTTATTAGTTTCTCCTTCATTGATATTTTTACTCCTTATTTTACTATCTATACAATTTTGAAATAAATAAATAAGTAAATAAATAAATATAATGTGCGTATGCAGTGGCGGACCCACCTTGTGCACGGGTCTTGGGACTCCAAGAATTTTTTTTAAAAAACTTTATATTATATACTCCGTCCGTTCCGAAAAGGTTCGTCAAATTGACATTTCTTGGTCAATGACCATCAACTTTGACCAATAATATTTTTTAATACGAAATTATTTTGAATGTGAAAATTATATCAAAATGCTCCTTAAGTAAAATATTTTCATAAAAGCATAAAATTTATAAATTATATACAAATATAATAATTAACATGATTGTTTAAAATTTGTCATCATTTACTAAGAAAAGTCAATATGGCGAACCTTTTCGGGACGGGGCTAATATATTTTATATAAAACTGACCGGCAAATGTATATATGCAACCAACACCAATAAAATAACTAAAGAATGGAGTGGAAGACTGGGCGTGTGTGCGTGATTAGTATACACAGGGGCAGATCCAAGAAACTTATCATGGAGGGCCGTGGATTAAGTGGCATATCGAGAATTTTTGTTGACAAGTGACTAACTTACACTAGAACTTAGTCACATATTTCACAAATAGCAAATACATTATTAACATTGTTTGATTAGACTTAGTTTAACTTATAAATGTTAAAATATAAATAAAAATAAAATCAATTTATATTTCGTGTATGTAAAGATGCAATTCTAAATAAAACTTGAGAAAATTACTGAAAAAGAAGTTAGATTTTAGTGAATTTTCATCCTTTTCATTTGTTAATAGAATTACATAAATTTTAAGTTTAGGGAAGAAAACAATCTTAATGCTATTTATTTTAGAATTTTTCCTAAGTTTAACTCTTATTTTAATCATTTTCTTATAAAATTTCAGACTATATATAGAGACAAAGTTGGGGTTGAGGGGGGGGGGGGGGGGGGGGGCAACTGTCCCTATTGCCCCCACAATAAAGGGTACACAAAGAAAAATATATTTATTATTACAAAAGAGTAAAGTTAATACCTTAAAATTGTGTTTGACACTCCTCTAACTAGATAAACTCCTCAATCAAAGTTTTTTAGACAAAAGCTTAACTATGACTCTACGCGAATTGCCTCATTTTACTTTCATACATCAAAGTAAACAGCCTCTATGTAAGTCCAAGTATGAGTTCCGGTTTCTCCGTCCAAAAGGTTGAATCCCCAACCCCAAGGGCCCCCCCACCCCGACCCAAGGATGGTGGGGGAGTAAATCACGGTGACTCAGTCGGCAAAGCGGCAGTAGGCCTTTACCCGTGCGCACCAGAGGTCCAGCCTTATTTCAGGTTCTGAAAACCCCCTTTTGGCCGCTGCGGGATTCGAACCTTGGTCTACGTCCAATTTTTCCCACCACTCGACCAACTGAACTACCCGTGCGGGTTGAGTTTCGGTTTCTCATCTGCATTGGAATGTGCTTTTCCTTATGGAAAATGGCAATGTACATTCGTTCCCAAAAATTTAACGTTGTTTTCTAAGAAAATAAATACTTGATTGTAAGTTTTAACATAAATGATGACTTGATGAGTAGAAATTTCAAAGATACAAAATGGTAAGCATATAGTTAACGTGACTTAATTAAGGGTGTAACATATAAATAAAGGTGGCATCAGAGCCGTGCCTTATGTGAGGCTGGAGAGGCTTGTGCCTCATGGCCCTCAAAATTTGTAAAAATCAGGAGCCCAAAATTTTATATGTATTAGTATTATACATATGTATTTTCTAGTTATCTTTCATTTTTCCTCTTGGGCAGTTCGACTTTTATTTCTAGGCTTCTAGGCTCCAGGTTCTATAGTTAATTCTATTAGTCTATGTTTTTTTATTTTCTTATTTAGTTATTTGTTTGTATTTTCAGAAATTTTCTAATTTTATATTGATTTTCTAAATGCTATTGTGATGTATAATTAATTTGTCATGTGTGAATGCCAAATGGCCTAATTTGTAAATTTTTAAATACTAGTTGATTCTTGCTTGTTTTTTTATTTAGTGTTATCAATATTACAATTATGGAATTCTCAAATCACAATTAATTAAATTAAATGTTTTGTATTTTATAGAGAAATTTACTAATATATATTGTTAGGGATTCCACTAAATTACACACTTTTTTAGTACCTTACCTCTCAAATCTTTGTCTCGATTTCAAGAGGGAAAACAAATCACGTATTAAATCATTAACTAAAAAGTCAGGTCGAAAACATTAATAAGTACGTAGTACTTTATTTCGAATAAAAGAGTCACTTTGGAGAGTACATCTTCAACCATGTCTCAAAAAAGATTTAATGAATTAGCTATATGATCAATTGAGAAGAAATTCATTGATAACATAGATCATGCAGACTTGATTAATACATTTACGTCTAAAATGTTCGACGAGTTGTACTTAATTAGTGTTTTAATACATTCAATGTCATTTTTCTATAATGTAAGACTTTAATTTAAGAATTACGTTTTTGTAATATTTAATCATTGAAGTTTAATGAATCTATACGACAAAGAAATACTGTGTATAGGGTACATTTATAAAGCTCAACTCAGGCCCGAGTTTAGGTAGGATCAGCACTGGGTGGCATATATATTGAATTTATTCATTATATATGCTTTGCTAATAAAAAACGACCCCCGAATTAAATCCACATCAGCCGTAAATTGAAAACAAATTAAATTCGAACGCGGTATTTATTATTAAGTCTAATAAACAAATTAAAAAAGCTGATGACATACATACATAGATGCACATTATTTTATGATTACAATATAATGACATTAAAATAATGAGATATTATCCAAAATAGGACTAGAACAGTTTAAAAATTCCAAAATATGACTGTCATGTTTTTTATTCCCAAAATATGACTAATTACTGTCATGTTTAGAAAATACCGCCATGTTTGAAGTCTGGTACTGCCAAAATATGGCTGTAATTAGTCCTATTTTGGGAATAAAAACATGGCAGTCCTATTTTGGAATTTTCAAACTGTTTTAATCCTATTTCTGGAACTTTCCCTAAAATAATTCTAACGGTATAAACAACTGAAAGCCCTAATTATGATACGCCACTAGCGGTACAAAACAGTCCACTGGTCACTGGCTAGCAGTAAACGCAGCTTTGCTTTGCTCGGTATTCATTAATTAAGCTGTTTTGTAAATTATACTAGCTTTGTCCCGAGCAAGCAAAAGTTCTCATCTACTATTCTCCAATCAATACAAATTGATTAAAGAATAGTAAATTTGAATCAGTTAATGCATGTAGTGTCTAAATATGAGTCTTTTGGTGACTTCATATTCTTTTTAATGCATGTAGTTTTTGAATATTTAATTTTATTATTGACTTGAATCATTTAACCTCGTGGTTAATCAAATAGAGAAAATTATTCATAACAGGACTCTTTCATAGACTTTTGATCAAAATAAGACCAAATTAGATTAATTACATTCGTAAGCCTAAATCACTCCTACTTTAGGAAACTTAAATTCTACTTGCCTAAAATAGTACCCCTGAGTTTATATATCCTTTCAGCGTTTATCTTTCAGCGAACTAACCACCATAGTCCTTAGGAAACGCAGCTCAAGCTTCCCACCGCCAACGCCTTATGGACTTTTATCGTCTACCTTGCTTCACAAATTCGAGTTCGATTTCCATCAATTCCGAGTGATAATCTTCATTTCTGCTGCGAATTTATTGTGAAATTTGGACTCAGTTTCTCGGAATTTGCCAGACATTCCTGCTGCAAATTTTTTCGGTTGTCAGTTTGTATGATGTGTTCAAATTTTCATTCTGATTACATATTTTAGTTTAATTGCTATCTTGGATGTTTACTTTGTTTATGAATTCTGTCATTAAATTTTCTTCATAATCTCAAATTATATTTTCAAGGTAATTTCATCATTAGATATAGTGAATTGTGTGTGTGTGTGTGTGTGTGTGTGTGTGTGTGTATATATATATATTGGTTCAAATAAGAACATGATCTTAGGAGAGAAATGAGAACGAATCTGGACCGTTAGATTTGCTTTAAGTGAAATTCGATGTGCATTAGATGAAACGATAATGTGCATTAGGTGAAATTGAAATGTGCAGCACAAAGGGTACGATACAGTGGCATTAAGTGAAGGTGAAATGTGCGGAATAAAAGGCACGATGTGATGTTATTTTTGTACCTTTTATTCCGCACATTTCAGTTTCATCTAATGCACACTTGAGTTTAGATTTTTATTCTGCACATTACAATATCATCTAATGCACATTTCAGTTTCATCAAATGCACAATTCAGTTTCACATGATACAATCCAACGGTCTAGATTCATTCTTATTTCTCTCCTCCGAGTCCATTCTTACCGGAACCGCTCCCTATATATATATATATATATAGATAAGAGATCAAATACAAACCATGCTTAAAATACTAACCTACAAACTCAATAATATGCATCATTTTGAACTTCAATATGCAGTAAAAATAATGTAAAGATGCAGGGGTGGGATCACATACAAACTAGTCCTCCCATACAAATCATCTTTACATTATTTGTATTGCACATTGAAGTTCAAAGTGTTTCATAATATTCAAGCCATAAAATAACAGTTTCATATTTACATTATTTGTATTGCATATTGAAATTCAAAGAGTGCATCTTTACATTATGTGTACTGCATATTTAACTTAAAAATGTTGCATATTATTGAGTTTGTAGGTTAGTAAGTTAAGCATGGTTTGCATGTGATCTCACCCCTATATATATATATATATATATATATATATATATATATATATATATATATATATATATATATATATATATATATATATATATATATATATATATATATATATATATATATATATATTGTTTTACGTTACCTGCTCTGCTATTGAGCTATTATCAGAACTTATTGTCTATTTAATGACTACTTACTGTCTATGTATTGCCTGCTATTGAGTATTATTAGAACTTATTGTCTGTTTACGGACTGCTTAATGTCTATGTATTGTCTAGTGTTTGCAAGTTTGATTTTGGATCTGGTTTCTTCAAAAGTTTTGCAGAACACATGGTGGCCTTGTGAAAATATGAAATAGAAGTTCGAAATTGGCAAAATCAATGTTCAAAATCAGAAAAGAAGAAGATGAGGAAGAAGAAGATGAGGAAGAAGAAGACATCTTTGGCGGTGGCGTCCGATGAAGTCAACCGGAGTAGGTATCTAGT